ATCAGTTAATCCACATACTGGTCTATTAATTATTAATGTCCCAAATTAATAATATTAGACCAGGGACAATTAGAATATTATGTTTATTTTAAAGTGTAGCATTCCACAATTAAGTCACATACTTAATTAGCTACTAAACAGAATATTCAGGGACTAAATATTAATAAAGAAAACTCACAATAATAATTAACATAAAATGAGTTTGCAACTTTATTAATTAATGAGCATTAAATATTTATTGATAAATCATAAACTATGATTGTCCTAGGGCATATCTCCAACAGAGACCTCCCGTAAGGGAGAGTGAGTCGGCGACCAATTGGACTGAACCGCTTCCTCACATTTCAAAGGACTCTATTAACACACAATGGATAATTCAATATGGAATAATGATTTTAGAAAATATTATATTTATTCAAATAATATTACTATATTACTATAAACTACTCCTTTCCATCATTTTCAATGGAGCCAAAGACTCACTATTTTTTGCTTGGTAATATGATGGAATAAAGCAAAATGGCTCACTAAACTGTCTACGCTTCTTTGTTATCAAGTAACGGTCAGTCTATGCAATTTTTGACGTGATTTTCACTATGGATCATTCGGAAACAGTCTCTCTATGCTTTAGTACATGGGTAAGACTGCGTACGTGCATCCGACTCACTTTGCGGCACTGGGGTAATGATGATGGTGATGACTATAAGCTACTCCTTTTAAATTTAATTTATACCAAAAGTAGAATAACTTTGAAATGATTACTAAACAAATTGAAGAACAATGAAATGTAGGATTTTTTCTCAAAATTACAAGGAAAACCATTTCAAGTTAAATTTGATTTTTCTTATTATTATACTATTATTATTGTTATTCTTATTATCATGACAGATCTAGCTGTGAAGGTAAAGAAGCGGGAGATCATACTATGCGAGAACATGTGTGTGGTCGCCCATTGGGCCTCCGTTTTAGTCCAAAGAGTGGAGACCTTTTTATCGCAGATGCTTATATGGGTTTACTTGTTGTAAAGCCAAATGGGGGTTCATCAACTCAGGTTGCAAAACAGGCTCAAGGAGCTCAACGTGGGTTTACCAACTCCCTGGATATTGATAAGAAAAGTGGAGTGATTTACTTTACCGATAGCACTAAAAAATACCAACGAAGGTACATTTTCAGTTAGGAAATGTGTTTTCATATTGAAGGGAATGTGATGTACTTGGTATCTAGTTAGAACAACTTTTTAAACATATTTAACATCACAATGGAGTTGTATTTTCAGGAATTACATTTCTGCAATATTAAGCGGTGACAACACAGGACGACTGTTGAAATATGACCCCGAAACTAAACAAATCTCTGTCATGCTCGATAATCTTAGATTCCCCAATGGTGTGGCACTAAGCAAAGAAGGTGACTTTATTATTGTTGCAGAAACCACGACATGCAAAATATTGAAGTTGTGGCTCAAACCTCCAAAAGTTGGGGATGTAGAAACCATCTTGGAGCTTCCGGGATTCCCAGATAACATTAAAATGAATGAGAAAGGCGAATTTTGGGTTGGGATTCATTCAAGGAGAAGAAAATTCATGAAATGGGCTTTGTCTACAAACTCTTTGATTAGAAATGCTTTGATCATCAATCTCCCGTTTGATATTACAAAGGTGTATACATATTTGGGTAGTGTTAGTGGAAATGGTTTCGGAGTGAGGATAAATGAAAATGGGGATGTGTTGGAGATTTTGGAGGGCATGAATGGAAGAAATTGGGAGCATGTGAGTGAAGTTTTTGAAGAAAATGAAAATCTATGGATAGGATCAGTGGATATGCCGTTGGCAATTAAAGAGAAGATTATAAGATAAGTGCCATTTTTAATACTCCGTATGAACGTAAAAATATAGTTATATGTAAATCATATTATGTGTTTCATAATATACGTAGTATATTATACTACGTATTAAAGAAATGATGTGTTTTATGATGACCAAAACATTGTATAAAAGACTTTGTATATGACAAATATAGTCGATAGACAAAATGCGACCAGTTATATGTCAAATTATACTCCATCTATCCCAAAAAGGTTCACCGAAATGACTTTTATTGGTTAATGGCACTCAACTTTGACCAATGAAATTTTTTAATACCAAATTATTTTGAATATGAGAATTATATCAAAATGTTTTTTATTCGAAATATTTTCATAAAAGTATAAGATTTATAAATTATATACATGTATAATAATTAAAATCATTGTTTAAAGTTTGTCATCATTGACAAAAAAAAGTCAATATGACGAATCTTTTCGGAATAGGGGTATATTATACAACCGGCTGTCCTTGGGGATGATATAGCCGACCATTTTTGAAATTCCGAACTTTGAGACTAAATGAAAGCCCCCCACCCCACCCCAATTCCAGTTTCACCGCACGCTTGATCCCTTCAACTCCAACCTTCATCATTAGCATCATAGCAAAGAATAGACTTCCTCCATTGATGGAGTCCAACAAAGAGTAGATTTCCTCTTACTGCAACTTGGTTATTTCTTCTTCGCTTCATAGGTGAAGCCTGATTCGTTCGAGGCGTGCGGTTCGCACACAAACGGCAAGACACTCATCCCACACCAGAGGCTCCTGCTTGTGGCTCGTTGAGTCCTCCTAGCCAATGAACTCACGCGACCACCGCATGTCAGATTGGATATCCCGATGACCGGATTGGAGCTTGAGCACATTATCTAAATGCTCATAGTAGAAAACACGATACTCGATGAAGATGTTTCAAATGCCCAATGCAGAGTTCCAATGCTCAATAAAGATGCTTGATCACCTAGTTCCAATGTTCAATAATACAAAACACGATAATCAATGAAAATGTTTTTATGCTCAATGCAAAGTGCAATGCTTAACAAAGATGTTTGATTGCATAATCTCAATGTTCAATAGTATAGAACGTGATGTTCAATGAAGGTGTTTTTATAGTCAATAAGTTTTGCAATATTTTACACTCCATTGCAGAGATGCAATACTTAATAGAAGATGTTTGATACTCAGTTAAATTTTTTGATACTCAACTAGTAGAGCTTACGATTTTTATATAAATGTATATTTCAAAAAGTATAATACGAGTTCATTATGAGTTCATTATAGATATATTTTAATAAATATTAAAAAGAAAAAATAACAAAAAGAAAGTGAATTAGAAGATATCAATGCCGATGCTCAATTAGTCTCTTATCACTAAACATAATAAGCCTGGAGTTCAATACAAGTGCATTGGTACTCAATTAAAGGAAGTAACGATTGTCAACTACAATTACAAAAATGTCATTGGTTGCCCTTAAACTATAATTGGATGGAATAGTGTAGTTGAGGCTATGTAGTTCTAAGGGAGTATTTGCGATTGCTTGTGCTTTTTAAAAGTTATTTTTTTAAGAGATCATTGGAAAAGTGATTTATAGTAAGGGGGTGTTTGGAACTGATTCTGCTTCTGCTTCTTTTTTAAAAGCAGAAGCAGAATCAGAATCAGTTTTCAGAAGCTGGTACCCCCCAACTTCTAAAAAATTTGATTCTGAGAGTAAATTATAGCTCCAGAAGTGCTTCTGGAATTTCACCCAAACACTCCAGCTTCTGCTTCTGCTCCTTGAAGGAGCAGAAGCAGTTTTGAGAATCGGATCCAAACACCCCCTAAAAGTAGGTAGTGTTTGGGAATAGAAGTGATTTTTATTAAAAGGTAAAAGTTGGAGTGTTTGATAAAAAAGTGACTTGAGATATAATATTTTGACAAATTACAAGTGCACCCTTGTGGCCTTAAGATTTGTTGTAAGACGTGTGGCTAAAATATGCAGCGCATCACCGGAAGACCCAATCGCCGTCGGTTACACTGACCTCGAATTGTTGGTTTTGAGGCTCGCTGTCGTGGGGTAGCACTGTAGCTGTTGAGAGCTCCACCATGTCCGTCAGTTTTCCTCCATTGAAGCCTCCATTGAATCCTTCCTATGCGCATATCTGTTTGAAAATCAATTGTGAAAGAAGGATTTTTCCAGCTCGTGGAGGGAGCCAGAAGTCAGAACTCGATTGTACATAAACTGGTCTCCGGCCATCCTTTGCTCATAGCTTCACCATCGGAAAAAATGTCTTGCGTAGAAGGGAGGGAGGTCTTGCGTAGAAGAAAGGGGACAACCGGTTTTGTGGGGCAGAGGGTAGTTTTGGTCTAATCATTATTTTTCAGGATTAGAATAACCCCAAAAGTTGGACTTATTTACATAAATACCTAGAAGCAGTTAGAAGTTGGCATATACCAGCTTCCAGCTTTTAGCTTTAAAGTGCTTTTTTAAGTGAAAGTTGGTAATTGCAAACACTCTTTACAACTTATTTTAAGTTAAAAGTTATGAAGTGCTTTTTTAAGGTTACACACTCTCAAGTAGCATGCTGTTATGTGTGAACTGCCTTACGGCCTAGTAGTTGTTACTTTCAATAACAGGTTAAGGAAAAATGATGGTTGTAGCACAAAATTTTAAAATTAAAGCTCAAAATATAAAATTGACTATTTGACATCTCTCAATTAGACAATTACGTGATGAAACAGACACGATACCAAACACCCCCTCATTTAATCTGGTTGGGACAAACACGATACCAAACAATGATCTAATGGCTTCGGTGTAAAATAATAAAATTAAATGTTGTGTGATCGAGGTTTATGCAGATGAAACAAATAAGGAGATTCACATGCAAATTAATTACTTTAAATGAAAATGATAAGTTTTTTATGATTGGTGTGTGTTTTCTCGCACTAAAATAAGCAAAAGTTGGAGTGTTTAGGTGAAAGCGCAGAAGTGATTCTGATGCTCTAATTTACTCTTAGAATCAGTTTTTTAGAAGCTGAGAGATACCAGCTTCTGGAAACTGATTTTGCTTCTACTTCTACTTTAAAAATGAAGCAGAGATTCAGTTCCAAACACCTCCTAAATAGTGCAAGAATCTCAATGTCAACTTCTAAAGAACCAACTTTTAAGGAACCAACTTGTGCTTCTACTTTAAAGAACCAAACACACCTCAAGTACATTGCTCTTTACATTGCTCTTTTGTTGCCTAGCTTCCCGCTCGCAGCCTTTCAATGAAAAAAGCGCCATACCAGTTACCTGGTTCACTTCTGCCGACTTCCCCTTGCTCCGCCTGCTCCAAACACTCGTACCGCTGCCTCAATCTGGCCGTGTCTGAGGCCTTTGAACTCGTTCCTCCTCTCCTACTCGGTAAACCCTGATTTCACTGTGCATCTCATTGTAGGAAATATACTGTATGCTCAACAGATTACTCATTTCTTCAGTGTGGAGTTGTCCGAGAAAACATGGAGAGAATTCACGTTTCAGTTAGGGCGAAACCACTATCTCTTGAGGAAGCAAAGACCAGCCCTTGGAGAATTTCTGGAAATTCAATTTTCCTTTCAAACCAGACTGGGACAAAATTTGACTTTGGTAGCGCACCTTTTTTTCTTTTGCAGAATCTTTTTTTTTTTTTTTTTTAATATATTGCAGCATTTCTGTCTCCCGAATCTGTTAATTTTCAATTACTCAAAGTAAAACTTGACTATTTTCTATTTAGATAGAATATTTGGGGAGGAATGCAAGACAGGTGATATCTACCAAGCTCGAACAAAGGAGATTGTTTCAGCTGCTGTTAAAGGATTTAATGGTACTCTTAGTTCTTCAAATTTGGTTATTTATTCGTACCCCAGTTACCTGTCATTTATTCTTACTCTGACTTATTCCTGACATTGTATTATATACAATAGAATCTCGATAACATATACATGATTATTCATGTTATGGATCATGGTTTTCTTTTGTTATCTTTAGAGAGGTCGGCAGATGAGATTAGAATGGCATGAACTAAGAGATATAAATACTGTTGTTCAGTCTATTTCCATTTCCATTTTCATTTCCATATCATATTTGAATTAAGACCCCCCACTTCTCCTTCAGATATTTCCCCATTTATTTAGTATCCTTTTATTAATCTTCTCATATACCCATGCATCTGCTTGAATAGGAACTGTATTTGCATATGGCCAAACAAGTAGTGGAAAGACGCATACTATGCGAGGTTCAAGTTCTGAACCCGGAGTCATCCCTCTGGCAGTTCATGATCTTTTTAAATTCATACACGAGGTAGTTGTTTTGAGCATTCAAATCTTTTTTCAATGTACTTGAACTCATTTTTAATTTTTGCAATCGAACAGCACTATCCAAATTAGATCAGATCGTAGAAAAATCTCTAACATGAAAGGGATTACAAAATTCATATTTTACTATTGATTGCATTTGATCTTGTATTTTGGAGGAATTTTTCTTATGTCATAATCTTGACTTAAAAGAACGAACTCAAGTATATATCATGACTAACATTGTTAGTAGCTAGGGACTTTGGTAGCCAATGCTTTGCTTAATTTTCATTCTTAATATTGCATTCTGCAACCAATAGCGAAATTGTTCATTGCCAATTGCCATCATTACTAACTGTTTTTCTCTGTATCATGTTTCAAAATTTCACTATGCTAATTCTAGACATGGACTGAGTTTAATGGATATCATTATCCCCTTCTAGATTCAAATGTCCCTAAGAAGTCATCATCTGCATTAAGGAACCATTCAGAGTTTTTATTTAAATATCGAAAACGAAGACATCAATTTTTTCTTTTGTTTTTTTAGGAAACGGATCGAGAATTTCTTCTAAGAATGTCATATATGGAAATATATAATGAAGAAATAAATGATTTATTAGCCCCTGAGCATTGGAGATTACAGATCCATGAAAGTATTGAGGTAGCTACTTTACATTCTCTTCCATATACTTATCTTAGAGTAGAAGCTTTATGTTTTCAGTAATTCAATCTATATACCTTATCTCCAATTTCCTTCCCAAATAAAGCGCGGGATATTTGTTGCTGGCTTGAGGGAAGAGATTGTTGCTTCTCCAGAACAAGTACTTGAGCTTATGGAGTTCGGAGAATGTGAGTCCTCAACTTCCTATTGACTGAGATTTATCTTGGCTCTTCTGTCAATGGTCTCAGGGCCTTCTATATCATCTTTGAGGGCCAATACATTTATATAACACGTTTTTTTGAGGTGTAATCATATTAGTGTATTTGTATAACAACAACAACAATATCCAAGATTTTAGTGTGTTTTTATATAACATTGTGTTTTGTATATATTATTCCATGCCACCAATGCCAGTGTAGTTGGGTGCAAATTATTGATTATGATGATGATGAGTGTTTTACGTGATAAGCTTTTGGACTTTCTGTATTCGACCTAATTTGTAAACATTTCCAATTTTCAAATAAGACTATATTAAATTCTTTTGTTTTAGCTGCATAGCGTTTTAAGGTTAAGTTGTGTTTTTGTCCCTATAATTTGCAGTGGTTTCAGTTTTAGTTCTTGTTTGTGTGCAAATTAAGTCTTTGTAAAATATTGTTATTCCTATTTGATCCATTTTTATTCAGTTTCATTCAGCTTCTATTATGGTCCTACGTTTATCTAACACACTACTTCTGTAGATTTAACTCTTTCTTGTCATGGCTAGATCGGACACCAAATTAATTCACTTTTAAGCTCGTTGTTAACTAATTCTAGACAATAACTGACACTAAATTTCAGCCACTAACTCTAATGGAGTTTTGGTTAAGGGGATGATGATATGTGAAAACAGAGTGGGGAGGATGTAATCTCTCTTGACAATAGTTTGTTGCAATTGATAACCAATTAACTTCAATTGTTTCAATATGCTCTGCAGCCCATCGCCGTACAGGAGAAACAAATATGAATTTGCATAGTAGTAGGTCTCATACAATATTTCGAATGGTATGCAATCATTTTTTCTTGATTGACATTCTTAATTTACTAAACTCAAATCCCTAACATATCTTCTTGTATAGATAATTGAAAGTAGGGACAAAGCTGAACATGCAAATTCATATAATTCATGCGATGCAGTTCGTGTATCTGCTCTGGTAAGAAGTTAGGGCGCGTAAGCGCGTTACATTTAATTATTCTTTTCCATTTAATTTCAACCTCTCTTTTACAAGAGTTTCGGTATTAACTCGTTGTCTCTCCCAGAATTTAGTAGATCTGGCTGGTTCAGAGCGTGCTGCTAAGACAGGAGCAGAAGGTGTTCGTTTGAAAGAAGGTTCACATATCAATAAAAGTTTGATGACATTAGGAACAGTTATAAAAAAGCTAAGTGAAGGTGCTGAGAGCCAAGGGTAAATTTGAAAATTGATGGACTTATGGCTCATTGAAATTTATTTACTCATCACACCTTAATGCATCATTTTGACACCTGCAGTGGCCATGTTCCTTACCGAGACAGCAAGCTCACACGTATTTTGCAACCGGCGTTAGGTGGAAATGCAAACACTGCTATCATTTGCAACATAACTCTTGCTCAGGTAACTCTTAAGGAGTTGGTAATGAAGATTTTACTGAAATTTTTCTTGAATACTATAATTTAACAATTTTCTTAATACATCTTACATGAGGACAGGTTCATGCAGATGAGACTAAAAGTAGTCTTCAATTTGCAAGCAGGGCATTACGGGTTACAAACAGTGTTCATGTGAATGAGGTTATGCTCCTGATCAACATTTGATACACAACTAGACTTGTCAATTAACTTTTGTCTTTTGGCAATATATTGAGAATACCTGATGGTCACAGACAACATTCTGCTGCTTTTTCCTTTTATAGCTTTATCATGTGTTTTCTTCTTCTGTGATTCTGAATCTACATTTCTTTACTGTTGACAGGTATTGACTGATGCTGCTTTACTCAAGCGTCAAAAGAAGGAAATTGAGGAGCTTCGAGCTAAGTTGCAGGTTGTGCTAATATTCATGTTTCCTTTTTTAATTTCATGTTTGAGAAATTATCAATTGTCAACTGACTTGTATACTCTTATATAGGATTCACATTCAGAACATCATGAGGATGAAGTTCTCAATTTGCGCAACACTTTATTGAAGGTTTGCTTTACTTCTTTTCTAGTAGGTTGGATGATGACATAACCTTACTTGCTGCTTTCTCCTTGTAGAGTGAATTAGAAAGAGAGCGGATTGCATTAGAGTTAGAGGAAGAAAAAAAAGCTCAAGCAGAAAGGGAGAAACGGCTGCAAGAACAAGCCAAGAAAATTGAAAACTTGAGTACCATGGTGCTGTGCTCGAACAGAGATGAGAGCCATGATGTCTACAAGAAGGTTTTCTGCTCAACCTAAATCTTCTTGACTTAGTTATGTTGATTATTTAAATGGACTTTTAATAGAACTTGTGGACTGCGATGACGGGTAATGTCTAACAATAGGGACCTCCTTGTTACTAGTCAAGATATTGCAGTCCATATCTTGCTATAACAGTGCAATATGCGAACAGTTCGTGCTCAAGTATTCTTGTAGCATATCCACGTTTTCAGTGTCATGCCTTCCATCCCGTTTTTTATTACCTTGGTGTTCCCTTTAGTAGTAGTTACGCCACCTGGATTAAGTATTTTCATTCTGAAGCTTCACTGCCTTTTTGCATTTGCATTTTTTATGCTGAATCTTTTATTTGTGTATAGTTTTTTGAGATTTTGAGTAAATTTCATTCTTAATCCTCGACTACGATGATAGTATTTCCCTTTTTACTTCATACCCTTTTAATAAGATTACATTCCGTCATTGACATTGCATTTTTCAAAATCAGAATCAGTCCTCACTAGGGGTGCAAACAAGCCGAGCCAAGCTTGAACTTGGGCATGGTCAAGCTCCATAAGAAAGCAATGGCTTGAGCTCAAACAAACCCAATAATTTTGGCTCAAGCTCAGTTTGAATTTTGCTCATTAACTCTTCTAGGCTCGAACTCGAATAAGATGCTCGAACTCGAGGTATTTTTTTTCAAAATTATTAATATTATATTTATACAAATAAATAAATAAATAAGTAAGTAAGAAAGTAAATAATTAATTAGTTAATTAATTAATTAAATAATATATGTTTACACACACATATATATGTACATATACACACAAGGTCCAGTTCAAATGAGAAATATTTTTCCCATGAGAAATGAGAATGGTAAACATTCTGGCTCATGGAGTTGCACATTTGTGGAGTTCAGACAATGCACATTTCTGGTTCAGATAATGCACACTTCACAACATTAGAAAAATTTCATTTTATTTACAAAAACGCAATCATGTTTTTTCATCCATGGCAGTGCACATTTCAGTTTCAAATAAGCCAGAGCTCGGCTCAAGTCGAGTTTTGACCGAGTGACTCACAACTTCACAAGCAACTTGACTCGTTTGCACCCCTAGTTCTCATTGGGGAACGTCCGATAAAAGCTGCTACTTACAGGACTTAAAGAGGCTAAATTGGAAGCCATTAAGGAAGTGTGGAGACAAAAAAGAACATGACTAAATGTGAAAATTTCAACATATATAGCGGTTCTATACTTCTATATACTAAACATATCCCTTCGTGCTGAATTTTATGATGATTAAATTCAACGAGTAATATTGATTATAGTATTTCTATATTAATTAAGGAAAAGGTTCAAATAGATCCCTCTACTATTTCAAATTCATCACTTGAGCCCCTTTACTAAAAAGTATCACACTACCTCCGTCCCGGTGGACTTTGCCAAGTGCAAAGTAGGTGAGAAATAAGAATAGCAAAAACGGCGTGGTTGAAATTTGTGCAGAGGAGAGAGAAATGTGCAGAATCACAAATTAGTTGCTTTAAGGAAAAGTTGGCAAAGTTTTTTGGGACAACCAAAAAGGAAAAGTTGGCAAAGTTCAATGGGACGAAGGGAGTATATGAAAACACCTCAGTCCAGCCATTTTGACCTGCTATAGCAGGTTGTTTTTGAAAAATAAAATTAAAAGAATTGATAAAACTTATAAAAATTCATATGAATTTGAAAAACATAGAAATAATAATTTAAAAGCACTAAAAATACCAAAATAGGTAAATAATTTAAAAGCATTAAGCGAAAAAATGAAAAAAGAAAATAAGTGAAAACGTTAACAATATAAAATTAAATTGTATTTTTGTAAATGTAGAATATAAAAATAAAAAAATGCAAAAGTATATGTTTGACATTTTTAATTTTTTCTGAAGTTTTTATTTCTATTTTTTTGAATGTTAACAATATTTTTAGAGTTTATTAAAAAAATAAACCTGCTATAACAGGTCAAAGACCGGTTGAATGGACGGATTGATCGTTGTTTTAAAGTAAGTATACTTATATGATAGTAATTTTTTTAGTATGGGACTTAAGTGATGTATTAGAAATAGCATAAGGATTTATTTGGACCTTTTCCCTATTAATTATTATTACTTATATAATAATATTGAAATAATAATTGTAGTGTAAATAACGATAATGTAATCATATGCGAAAACATGTCATTAATATCACTAGATTCTCACTCGTGCGATGCACGGAATAAAATGTAGTAAAAATATATGAGTGTTTTTATACATTAATAGTAACATCAAAGTATTATTACAGATATAAATTGTAATGTTTTACTGATGAAAATAAGTTACAATAGGTCAAAAGAATTTATATTCGATGAATAAAAAATGAAAGTATGAGAAATGACCCTTATTTATAGTAGAAGTTTCATACCTTTTGTTTAATATTCATTTCGTCTCACGGACTTTGTCAACTTTCTTTATTTAGGCGTCATAAAAAACTGTTTCTTTCTATTTAAAGTAATAAATATGTGCTTAAAATTATTTCTCCTTTCCCTTCATAAATCTTAATCATACATTTTTTACTTTACTATTTTACTTAGAAGTCAATTTTGGTCAAATTTTATGGGACTTGAGTGTATATGATTCGACTCTAATCTGAGAGAAATAATATGGTTTTTCGTGAATACTAAACATAAAAAATTAGAAAAATAGGAGCATAATATATGTAAATTGAAAAATCCAGCAACTTATATGTTATGTGATATTGGGGAACTAATTGACAATTAAAAGCCCATTTGGTAACCCCTATTTTTATCTTATCAACCTTATCATTCAATTATTTTACCAAATATGCAATTTTATATTTCGTGCTTGAAATTGTGTTGTAATAAAAATAATTTATCTTATCCACTTTATCTATTTTCATGTAGTATTTCTTAACTTCCTTTATAAAATATATTTTGATTTTTTTCACAATTTAGTATATTCAGGTAATTCAGCCACTAAAGTCAAAATTTTATTAATTTCAACATGTTCAGCCAATTCAACCAATTTCAGTGGTTCCAAACGGGTCCTAAACACCATGATTGAATCCAATAAAGTTGCGTCTATTTGATACTTTCTATGTCCTTAATAATTATGTTAACTTTCCTTTTTTGGTTGTCCCACTAACTTTGCCACTTTCCCTTTTAAGTAAAAAAGTTGTGGTTTCAGTTAATTCTCTCTCCTCTGCACAAACCTCAATCACACATATTTTATTTCACTAATTCACGTGTCGGTCAAACTTGGTCAAGTTTTAAGGGACGGAAGGAGTAATTGGTTAAATCTACATTTGAGCCATTAATGATGCTAGCCTACTTAAGCTTATCGGCACTTTTTATGACCAAGAAGTTAGAGGCCTTGTTTTTGAGCAGCTATTGGACGGCCTAGAGCCCAATAATAAGAACTAAACATAATTGATTGGCACTTAGAAATAATTGGTGTCTAGTTGAACGAAACGTGGATGATCAGGAAAGGGTCCTATAAGATTAGACTTTTTTGGGCGGGAAAATGTACAGTTTTTCTCTTCGGTTTGTATGTAGTAGGATAGGTAATACAGATTTGCAGATTAGAAGGTCTTTGGTGCTTCTGTAGGACAGTGGTTAGAAGGGTATTTAGTTCACTTTTTCATGAGAATTTACATTCTCAATTCTGTTTTTTTTTTTCTTTTCATTTTCCATTGAAATAAGCAGGTTAAGGTAACTGTCAACATTCCACCTGAACTAATAAATGTGTTTTTCAGTATGGAAATGAAGGGGTGGAAAGTGATTTACTATACTCGCAAAAGTAACTAAATTCCACCCTGACAAGTGCCCTCTAATATTAGTGCCTCCACTACTGTTCAGTTTGTTTATTTGCCAAAAGTTTATTTGATGCTCACGACTTTCATTTCATTTAATATAATGCTTTGTGTATCGATTTGCAGGAGAAAAGGCGTGATACATGGTGCCCTGGTAATCTTTCATGGATGAATGCCAAAGAGGTACAGTATTGTGTAACATTTTGTGTAACGCTTATAATCTGAGGCTTGTGATAAGAGCTTTGCTATTTACGACTTAGGCCAGCATTCAATACGAACCCTTACTACAAATAGCTCTGGTTAGAGAGAGTCTTAGAGAAAATAATACAACTATGAGCAGCTTTAAGTATTTGTTAGGGACCTAGGTAGTATGGGATACCAAAAGTACCACACCGAGTAGAATGGGATGCTTGGTGGGGTTCTTAAGTGTCTGGTTCTCCCACCTTATCAGCTAGCTTTTGGGGTGTGGCTCTCCAAGGTGCTTAAGTTCCTAACAGTATTACCAATTATCTCGATCAGACATCCAATAAAATGGTGCATAAATTGAATTCTCATGACCATTACATGATAAAAGCATGACCTGCATTATCTCCTTTTCTCACCTCTCAGTTAACTGATAGAGGGAGCCCCATTCCAATACTCCCCTGCATTCTAAATTCCTGTAGTTATACTGTTATAGTGTCTTGTATTCATCCATCATTTAGCTAGTAAGTGACACTTCATTTTCTATGGCATTTAACATTTGTGTTTATCTGTAAGCTTCTTTTCTATCAGTAATTTGAGAAATTTGATTTTCCCCCCATTCATCCAAGCTTATAACAATGTTATTCTTTAATTTTCAGTTGTATCCAGCGGTTAAAGTAGATCTCTCTGCAGTCAAACCCATGGGAGCAGAGCATGAGCGGTGCTCCCTGCTTCCTTTCGAAGAATTACTGGATCCTGATTCTGCCGGTGTCACATCCCGTAAAGAAAAGGATTTTCATAATATCCAATCAGAAGAGTTTAGTGTTCCTGACCATCGAGCTATGGTGCATGTTACTAGCAGGAGAAAGGGCATCCCTAGGAAGAAAAGCCCGCAAATTGTAAATCTTATGATCTTTTATCTTTTTTGCTGCATGTTGACTTGGTGGTCATGTGATCTCAGACACATCCCCATTCCCCCCCTCCCTGCTCCCCCAAAAAAGGCACACACACGCACACACTCTCAGCACCACACCACTTAAGGAGAAAAGGAAATCAGTTGAGATGGCAAGCACTGTGTGAGGAATTGGTTTTAGATTTTGAAGCACATGTAATTTGATTATCTTCTTTCTTTTTTCTTTTTTAATTCTATAATAGTAGCTGAGATTACATGGAGAAGTAGGACTGAACCTGAAATTCCCATATAATTTTGAATACTATTCTCTACAATGTTAGTTATGTATAAGAACCTCTTCAATCAATTTCATATTTTTGTTAATTTTTGCCAGAAAACTGTGAATGAGACGCAAATTGATGGTTTGACAAGAAAGGTTTCTGATGACGAGGCTCTTCTGACTGACAAAGTTAATGATTGTTCAATGCACTATAACAATAACAAGATTCTCCTGTCGGGGAACAACTATTTAAGAGAGTCAGAAGCTATTCTTGTAATTAAGCAGCTCCAGGAAAAGGTGTTCATCTACTTTGTTACCTTTGTTTTCCTATCTTCTGTTCTTCACCTTTTTAATATATTTCAAGATAACACAATCTCTAGATAGTTGGGTTCTCAATATTGCTACTTGTCTCGAAATCATACAATTACTACATATACTGAAGTGCATCTAATCTTTTTCAGATCAGAGTTTTAGAGAAGGAGAGATCCTCAAGCCAAGAAAGTTTGGACAATGTAGTTGAGTTAGCAACTGAGCAAACATTATCTGCAAGGGTTAAATATGAAGAGGTAATCAGGGTAAAAACATTTATTGGTTGCTATAAGCTTTGAGGTATTCTGAATACCGTAGTCAGTATACAAACTCTATAGAAGTATTTAAGTACCAAACATAAGCATTTACATTTTGGGATTGGTACTTCAAAAGATTGAGTAATATTATTGATTGCTCGCTTCTCCCCAAATACCCCTCCCCCCTCCCTCAAGGAATGGCCTTCTCCGAAAGGCTTGGTTTATTAGATCTGACTTCCATTTAAGTATGTCAAGAATTAGTCCATAATTGCACATTGACATACCTACCCTGGGTGATAGATATAAAATCTTCAAGAAGTAAATTGCATTGCATCAAATATCTAAAAGTTAAGTCATGACCCAGACAACTGTGCGCATATTAACTAATTTGGGAGAATTACTTGGCCATTGTAATGGAGGCTGGAAGTAATTTAAACATACTGTTATAGTATGTTTTTCATTGAGTGATTATTCTGTTCTTCTCTAACTATACGCATAAGAATATATTTCCATTAAAGTTATTTATATTCAGTTTTGTTCATTTATGTTAATTTACAGTAATTAATATTTGAAATGTCAAAACATTAAATCGAACTAGGATATAAACATAGCGTGCATGTTGAAACCTTTCTGTCATGAACTAGAGTTTCCACCAAACACTAACTTGTTTGACTGCGCTGGGTGAAAGAAATGATGGAGGAGTTTCTTATTTTTCTGAAATGGATGAAATTGAAGAAAATAACACATCCACATTCACGAGGATTAAAACTTAGAAGTGTATTGAGGGTATACATTGAGGATTAAAAGTGCCATTTTCTCTATCTTATGTGGTGGATAAGGATTACTAATGGAAAAAATGACATCTAGTGCTTACCTAAATCTACTTACTACCATTTTTTCAAAAGAAAAAGAAAAAGATTTCATGTTTCAATTCTAGCCATTTAAATTTCTCAAATATAAAATACCTAAACCGCAATTTGATTAAATTGACACAAAACAAATAAAAGTTTAAAATGTAAACCTAAACACAAATCAAATGAAATTGATAAAGAAACAGTAGAAACAAAAAACTCTACTAGATTGGGGGTTTATAACTTATTTGACATATTCAATTCCTTGGGTTCTTAAAAGTAATCTTTATATAGATTTATCAAGAGTTATTAGATGCAAAAGAGGAAGCGAAGGAAGCCAGAGAGCAACTTGCTTCAGTGCAATTTTCTTATGTAAGTGAAATGCTTTATTTAAAGTTATATTCGTTAAGTTGCATGTCACACTTAGATTTTGGGCTAAGTTTACCTCAATATCAACTTCCTTCAGGAGAAGAACTCGGAGAGCCAATTTCTGGCAGAAGTTCAGGGAATGATGACAGAAGTTGAAAGTTCGAGAAACCTTATTGATTCTGCCGTTCCAGTTATAGTGGATGATCTTTTTCAATTATACTCTAACATATCCAGTTTAATGAATGTGAGTCAAGTATGAACTATTATAGTATTGTCCCGTGTGAACATTGAATAGTACAAGTGTATATGTATGTGGTGCCTAAATGGATATTTCATTAATGAAGACCCAATATTTTCGGCTAACCATTATTTTGGTGTTCCAATTTCAGGAATTTAAATCCTCAATACCTGAAAGTTCTATGCAAATAAAATCAATCACTAAAAGCCAGGAGAAATTATGCTCTTGCTTGAGTGCGAAAATCAATGAACTTGAGGATGAGAAGGTATGGTTTCACACTTGTTGATTCTATTCTTCATGTATGCCTCAACAATATAGTAATATCTTCCATTTCCATCAGTCAAATGTATTCTTATTCTTCTATATATGTCAACTAAAATATAGGTGCTACTGCACAAACAAAATTTGGACCTTCAAGTTCAGATAGAACAACTACAAAACGTCATCCAGGATTCTGAGGATGCATTTGTTGTAAGTCACCTCACTTTACTGTATAGGATTTCTTCTTAATCCTATATGGTGTTTGTGCTCTGTTAGACTGTCATTGTCATTGATGTTAGCAACTATTTTGCAGGAACACTCAGAACAATATGAAGGCGAGAAGAATGAGCTTCTTTCTTATATTGGTAGTCTTCAGCAAGAAATATCAAGCTTATCTTCTTCATCCCTTAACAGGGAGAAGGAATCACTTAGAAAAGATTTGGAGAAAACAAAAGCAAAGTTAAAAGATACAGAAGCCAAACTTAAGAATGCCATTCAAGAGAAAACAAAACTCGAGGTCTCATTCTGTGTGCTTAAAATCTGATTTAATTTGAATTTTCTACATCAAAAGCTATAGCACATCCCTTTTCTGCCATGTTTTTATTAGAGTGAAAAAGCTTGTGCGGAGAGGGAAATCAAACTCTTGCATGGACAGAAGGCTGTTTTTGAGCGTGACATAAACAAACATGACTCCCTCATTGGAAGAAGGCGCGATTCTGCTATTGATAGGGGCTCGAATGCATTTGAGGCAAAAAGAGCCAAGGGATCATCCTCTTTAGCGGAACTGAGTATGCAGGTAGGGGATGACTGAGCTTGAAATAAACCCCCCAAATTATACAAATACTTTCAGTAGTGTTTCTTTTTGCAGTACTTGACTGCATGCCAATATACTATATTTATGCTTTTATTCTGTAGATGATGATTTATATAATTATTTTTAACATTCTTTTTGTAGGACGACTTCAAGAAACTTGAAGTCCTTGCGTTTGAGATGGAGACAACTATTGCTTCACTGGAAGAGGAACTAGCAAACTCAAATAAGGAAAAAGAAGAGGCAGAGAGTAGAGCTGAGAGTTTGGCAGCTGACATACAGACATTATCCGATGAGTTAGATGTGTCCAAAGCACAGCTATGTGCTTTGAAGGAAGAGGTTTTGCATCTTGTAAGTTTTTCATTGCCTTTGACACAGCTCGGTTGGTATGTACTTGAAATTTAATGGATCTTTTTTGTTTAACATGCTACACTTAATTTTCTATGTATCCTAGACATCAAATTTGGAGGAATCTAGGTCTCATCATCAGGGATTAAAAAGCACCATAAATGCATTGTCTGGGGAGAAGGATGACCTTGCAATGGTATGAGATTGCTTATGGCTTAATCAATTGTATTTGGGAAGTGTCCATAATTGCTCTGATTGATGATTCATGGATGGCTTCGTTTTGCTGCAGCACCTTGCTGATGCCCTTTTAAGTATGGAGGAGGAAAAGGTTATATGGTCTGCCAAGGAAAAAGCTTCAGTTGAAGCCATTGAAGAAAAAACAGACTTGTATAATGCTGAGATTGCCTCTCTATCCAAAGGATTGTCTGAGGTAGCCTTCAAGCTTTTATACTCAAACTCCTTGTCAAAAGGTGTTGTATATAAACACTTATGCTTTTAGGTAGAATTTGATTTTGTATCTCTCTAAATTGTTGAACCTTGTACTTGAAGCTGAAAAGGTAATAAATTAGGCTTTTCCGACAAATATGCCCCATACAGGTGCAACATGAACTTGAAATTTACCGAGAAGAGTGCAAGCTCCTGAAGGAAAGTTTGACACTTTCAGAGAGAAGTGCATCACTTGAAAAAACTTTCTGGTTTGTCTTATCTTTTTCTGTCTGGTCTCATGTTTTAGTTTCTAGGTGCATTTTTCATGTTTCTTTTCCTCATACAACCTTTCTGTGTTTTTCCCACGGTAATACATATCGTGCTTTTCAACAGTAGTGAGAAATCACTAGAGATTGATCAGATCCGAAATGAATTAAGAGTTGTCGAGGAACACAGCAGAAAAACGCAAGAGGTGATTTTTAGTGCAATTATGTGTGACCACTTTGCCATAAGCTAAAATATACATCAGGTGCTAATTTGTTCTTATATACTCAGGCGTTGAAATCAGAACTGCAAGTTGTCTTGTTGGAACACCGCAGCACAATAGAAGAAGTAGAGAGACTTAGGATGGAATTAAGCATGCTCAACAAAGAAAGGGAAGGCCTACTAGCCCGAGCCAAAGAGTTGGATTTGGGAGATGATTTTCAGGTTTTGGCATTTTGTATAATTCATGTGATTGCTTTTTCATGATTCATGAGCTCATAGTTACATTGGATGCAATTTGACATATGTACTCAGGCATTGAAATCACATCTGGAAGCTGTTTCCATGGAGCACCACAACACAACTGAAGAGGTAGAGAAACTTAGGATGGAATTAAGCATGCTAAGCAAAGAAAGGGAAAGCCTATTGGCCCGAGTCAAGGAATTAAATCTTGGAGATGATTTAAAGGTTTGTTCCTCCCCCCCACCCCCCCTATTACCCACTTGGTTCTGATTCGTAAAGTGTCTCCTCCTCGTATGCTGCTTATATGTTGATGATAGCATGTGATAATCATTGGTGTGGATGCAGAACCCAAAGCATGAACTGAACCTTCTAAGGGAAAAACTTGCCAGTCTAGAGGACAAGATACATAGTGTAAGCATGATCATGTTAATTGCTTCATACGGAGTATTTTTTTGCTTATTTTCCTTGACTGCCAACTTGTCAGTCTGTGGTACTTTTATCCACTAATAATAATAAAACTAATGCGAAAGTTACTTCTTGTTGTTGCTGAAATGTTATATTAATGTATTTTTATCATTATATCCTTAAATAAACTCCATATATAAATATATAATACTCCCTCCGTACCTATTTTCCCTATTTAACCAGTGTAAAATTTACGGCCGAGTACACTGTTTTTGACACGGTTTAATACTGTTTGGCACTGTAGTCATTATAGATGATTCAATATTTCAACAAAATTTAACACTCACGCTCCGAAGTGAAAACCATTTATTGCCTTCTGAAGACATTTCCTATCTCTAATTCTCTATTGTGTCATTTATGAAATGCAAAGTGTGTGTTAACGCTTTTATGTATTCTATACTCCGTATTATATAATGAAAAACCATTTCTCGTCTTCTCTATTATATTAACGCTTTTCTGTATTCTATATCCTTAATGGGAATGCATGCTCTGCTCTTACTGCACCTTTTTTGCTTTATATGAAAGTGTGTGTAGTTCTATAATAAGTAAATCTGTTGAAGACTTTATGTGATTGAACAGGATCGGGTTGAAAGCAGCCTCGAAAAGGCTAAGCTTAGGATGAGACTCCATTGGACCCAAAAGAAGCTGGATGCATTCCGAGCGAAACATATAGAGGTGGTGAATGAGATGGATTTCATGAACAAGAAATTTGAGGAAGCTTCAAAAGAATTAAAGCAGCGTCTCGCTTTGTGTGGTCATGAGATCCTCAGCCTTAAGAAGCAGCTTGCTTCCTGCAGTGAGGGATGAGGCATTCATTATTTGCAGCCTAGACAGTATAACTACTAGGAGTATATATGTATTCTGTAAAGTTAAAATTAAAGAACGAAGTAGCACCATAATACAGAAACTGCTCAATTATCATCTTGTATTTCAAAATCAAGTGGTTTTTGACTTTTATATTTTCAGGAATTTTGTATGGTCAGTTCCGGACTTCCAGCCCAGAAAAACATACTCCCTCCGTCTCCGAAAGAAGTTCCCACTTTCTTTATTTGGATGTCCCTAATTTAAGTTCCCATTTCCTTAAATGGAAAGTTATCTACATCAAAACAGTGTCAAACAGTGTCAACCAGCGCCAAATAGTGTTGAAACAGTGTCAAAACAGTAAAATTTACCCCCTGGTAAGTCTACTTGCATAAAAGTGTGTGAAAGTCAAATGGAGAACTTCTTTCGGGGACGGAGGGAGTAGTTATTTGTAGGGAAAATTGTCAAATAGGTCCTCAAACTTTCATAAAAGGTCAAATAACTCCTTATATAGGAGACTCTGTCCGCCCGTCGCGATTTGGGGCGGTTCCCGGTGGAATTGTTTGATGCAAATTTTTGAGCATCTTATTCATCAAGTCTAGTTTACTCATACCAAATTTCAGCTAAAACTTCAATCAGGAATGCATTCAAATTAATTCTTGAAGATAACTGCGCATTTAATTGCACAGTTATCTTCAAGAACTAATTTGAATGCATTCCCAATTGAAGTTTAAGTTGAAATTTGGTATGAGTAAACTAGACTTGATGAATAAGATGCTAAAAAATTTTCATCAACAAATTCCACCGGGAACCGCCCCAAATTGCGACGGCCGGACATAGCCTCCTATATAAGGACTTATTTGACCTTTTTATGAAAGTTCGAGTACCTATTTGACAGTTTTCCCTTATTTGTATGAAGGTTGTGAATTGCGACTCCAATCTTGTGGGCGACGCTCAATGATCAATTAGGTAGATGCACCCTGGTTAAGGTCCTTGGTAGGCATGGATTCAACCCCATATCCGGACTGCAATTGAACCAGGACTGCTCGGTTTTTCAGCCTGGTCCTAAACTGTTTTTCTGGTTTCAAACCTCAATCTGGTATTGCTGTGGTTCCTCAAAAAAGGACTATATTGGTTGCTTTTGTATATTTTTAAACAGGCGAAGTGGCTAAAAGCCAAGTAGGAATCAGGCCAGAGCTGTACCATCATTTATATCTAACTCAGATCAAGACTGACATTATACAATCCAAATTGGTGCCCACATCTAGTCATGGATCCGGGCCGGGCCCGGCCGGGCTTTTTTTGGGAAGGAAGGCCCGGGACCGGCCCGGGTAGCCACCGGGTCCGGGCCTCCGGTTTGGTTATATATATATATATATATATATATATATATATATATATATATATATATATTGCTTTCCTACCCCCCCCCCCCCCACCTCACCCCCCAAACCCCTCCTAACCATCAAGTCCAACCCGGGTGGAACCCCATAAAATGAAAAAAAAAAAAAAATCAATTTGGCCCGGACCTGGGCCCGACCCGGCCAGGCCGGTTCGCCAAATATAAGACCCGAGCCCGGACCCCCCCCACCGGGCCTAGGCCCGACCCGGACCCGGACCCAAGAACCGGGCCGGTCCCGCACAATAGCGGGCCGGTCCACGGGCCGGGCGGCCCGAACCGGGTCCAAGACTACCCACATCAATTTTTTCTTGCTAAGCTCTATTAGAGACAGCCTAAACCGATAAATCCCGTCTAGGTGGTAGTTGGTACTTGACATTTTAGAAAATCAGTCAACCTGTGGTATATATTGCAAAACTTATATTAGAATATCAGTCAAACTGCCTGGTATATATTGCAAACTAACATTGATAAGCAAATGCATCATTTTAGCATAACTTAACCAAAGTATAGGCCAACATTTGAAGGACAACCTTTGCTTGTCAAATAATATGACTATCTAGGGAGTAACTAAAAGTCTAAAAATTAAAGGATTATTATTATTATTATTATTATTCATAATCGTATAGAAATCTCTCAGCAATTGCAGCATGAGTTGCTGCACCTATAGGGAGGGCATCTTCATCGATCATGAAAAGAGGGGAGTGACCACTATGTATTGATCCCAAAGTCTCGTTCATTATTCCTATGTAGAAGAATGCTGCAGGAATGAGTTGAGAGTAGAATGAGAAATCCTCTGCACCCATCAATGGTGCAACGACTCTGAAATTCGATGGACCAACCAAATGCTCAGAAACCTTCTTCACGTGTTCGTACATTCGCTCCTCGTTCACGGTTGGGGGATAAAGTGTGTCTTTGTCATTAAAGAAGTCTACTGTTGCCGAGCATTTGAACACACTAACCTGTTCTGCGATCACCTATTACCATGAAGAGAGTAACAAATATTCAACCACATGTAAGTTAAATGTTTATGTACTTCCTCCTAAAATGATTTACAAAGTATGCTTTTACTAGTCCACATTGTTTAATTTTATTTGCTTATTTAGAATAATCAAATTTTGAAACGTTCTAATTTTTATTTTGTGGTTTTATAGAACTTTCAATGTAATTTCTGAATATAAATTTTTATTATTAAAATTAATTTAAGCCAATGAAGCACATCCAGGGCTACTTTTGAGTCCTGTTTGATGTATCCTTTTTGTACACTCATCAGTGCACACAAACAATTTGTCTAAAATGTTGACAAATTGTCATTAAAGAAGTCTACTGTTGCCGAGCATTTGAACACACTAACCTGTTCTGCGATCACCTATTACCATGAAGAGAGTAACAAATATTCAACCACATGTAAGTTAAATGTTTAAGTACCTCCTAAAATGATTTACAAAGTATGCTTTTATTAGTCCACATTGTTTAATTTTATTTGCTTATTTAGAATAATCAATTTTTGAAACGTTCAAATTTCTATTTTGTGGTTTTATAGAACTTTCAATGTAATTTCTGAATATAAATTTTTATTATTAAAATTAATTTAAGCCAATGAAGCACATCCAGGGCTATTTTTGAGTCCTGTTTGATGTATCCTTTTTGTACACTCATCAGTGCACACAAACAATTTGTCTAAAATGTTGACAAATTGTCAATGTACATAAACTATTTTTGTCTATATAAACATTGTATGTGTACACAGACAATTTGTCCAAAAATGGACAAATATTTATTGTTTATAAACAATTTTTTAGACAAGTTTGTGTACGCAAACGAGTACGTGTACAAAAAATGTTCAAAAAAGTGTACAAATAGAATTTTTGCTTCATTGAATTTTGTTCAAAAAATTTGGTTACTAGAGTCACTTGTATCCATTATTTATATTTTACGGAGTAAGTCATACGACTTCTTTTTTACTTGGACTGAAATTTTCTGGTCCGACTTAATCTGGTTTGGTCTGAACTAATTTGGTAGATGTCTGGTCTCTGTGTATTTACAACTGTCCAGATCTGCTTTGGTATGATTTGTTAAAGTATGATCATCTAATATGGCCCGAGACTTAAACAAGTCCAAATAAAAACATATTTAATTACTCCTTAATTGGTTTGTAAAAGTGAGAAAAATGAAATGGCTTGAATAAAACCTCATCTCATCTCATTGTTCTTAAGTGAAATATGACTGACCTCTCTGATTCTCTTCAAAAGCCGACGCAAACTAGAATTGGAGAAAGCCCTGAAAGTGCCACGAAGAATAACAGACTCTGATTTGGCGCCAAGGCAATCAACCGATGTCACTGAGATCACCTGAGCGTCCAGCGGGTCGGCTTCCCGGGAAACAATGGCCTGCAAGCTGATGATGGCCGCGGAGGCAGCCACGACGGGGTTGCCCTGACCACCGATCACGGCCCGGAAAAAGCCGCACCCGGCGAGTAGAGGGCCGGGCCGTGATCCAATAACGCCAGTGGGATGCTGATGAGAGACATGAAGAGCAAAGATGGCCTTTGCTTTGTCAAGAGCCCCGTCTTCTATCATCCTTTTTGCTCCGTTTCCGGCCTCCTCCGCCGGCTGGAAAATTAGTATCACCGTCCCCTGCAAATCATAATTATCACTCTCTGTTCTTAGGATAATTTGGAGCACTTAGAAATAGGTTAACAATTTTACCCAAACACTCCAATATTTGTTTCTGCTATATGAAAACATAGAAACAGTTTTAAAAATCAAATCCAAACACTCCTTATCCCTCAACATACTTCAAAAAAGGGTGACACTCTGTACTAAGTGCCCCAACACCGGTCGAGTTGTTAACTGAGCGATGTAAATTGACTTTAATCACAAACTGACAGATAGCGAGTAACTCTCTAGCCCACCCTATGCATTTTTACATAATAACCTCTCATTGCAATGACGGAGATTCAAAGTCGAGATTTGCCCATCGTTATACCTTATCCACCAGTTAAGCTACGCTCACTTGCTTTTCATTCTCGAGATGTTTGTCACAAATGAGAAATCTAAAAAGTTGTTTGTACCCGCCCTTATACCCACTTTTATACCCAACATGTTTGTGCAAAGTTCTTTTTGTCTGTGAATCCCGTTCACAGACAAATATGTCTGTGAATCGCGTTCACAGGCAAATTTTAGACAAATAAAATAACATATATTTCATCTGTGAACCGGATTCCCTAACAAAAAAAACTTTCACAAACATGACAGATATAAGGTGGGCATAAGAGTGGGTACAATAAGAACGATTGATGAGAAATAGGGTGCACACTATGACACTATTGCTTGTTGAAAATAAAGTATAAAAATTCAATTTCATTGAGAAAGGAGGTGTAAAATCAAATTTTTTCTTCCCATTATTTGTTATTCCAAACCAAATCAAGCCAAACACTATGGAGATACTCCACCAATTAACATCAAATCTCTCAAAGACTACTAATTCGGACCGTTCGAAGATTAATTCTGCGGAATCCAAAAAAATGTACAAACACTGTGTAAAGATTCTCATTGAAAAGAGAAAGACAATAAAATTAAAGAATAGAATAAAATAAAATGCAGGGTCCAAACTCCAAAGGCCATTCTAAATACTGCCCACAATCCCAAAAGCAGAATATGTGTAATGAATCTTAACTAGTAATTTGGCACATATTCACAGCGCTCTATGAATCAGAGAGTGCTACTCACCCAAATCATTTAAAAAGTTTGATTCTGATTCATACAATTACTCCGTACTATCGTTATTAAATCTTCCTACTTTAAGCATTACACTAATCTGATGAGTGGCGTGATCTTTCGTTTTTAGAATTATTACTTCTTTTGTCTTTAGGACTTTCTTGTGATATCTAGGATTTTAGGGTAGTTTCATTCAATTTTACAATGAAATACTCCATTCATCCCAATTTGATTTCCTCGTTGCGCTTTACTTGACCTATGATAAAGAAAACGGATTTTTGTCCACATTCATATTATTTTTAGAAAAAAATACATATTCGGAAGCTATATTACAAGCTTTATAAAATCACAAAAATCAAAATCAAATTTGATAAAAATTTGTTATATAAAGTAAGAGATTAAGAGTAATTTGTGTTGATCAAGTGAATAGGAACTGAGAACATCAAATTGGGACGGGGATAGTATAACTTAATACGCCATAAAAATTTAATTTATACGTAGTACATAATTTGAGAATATGTAAGTTTAACTATTAATTCTAATAAGTGAGGGTAATATGTCTAATTGTCTATAATACATTTCATTACTCATCCACATCATTATTTTATCATATCTTTATGTTTGAAATATTTAATTTATTACTTTATTGATGTCCTGAATAAGGATACCGTGAGGTAGGGGTGGACCTGGACCGGGCCGGTTCCGGTTCGGGCCTGGGCCCGGCCGGGCTTTTATCTGGGAAAGGTGGAACCGGAACCAACTAGGGTAGCCGGCGGTTCCGAGCCGGGCCGGTTCCGGTTCGGGCTTATTTTCTTTATTTTGTTTTGCTTTTGTAATCAACCCCCGACCCCCCCCCCCCTTCACCCCCACCCCCAACCCCCCCCCCCAAAACACCCAACCCAACTCGGTAGAATAAAAAAATTGAAAAAACACAAACAAATTAGGCCGGAACCGGGCCCGGACCGACCGGGCCGGTTTGCGTTTTAGGGGGCCCGAGCCCGCACCGGGAACTGACCGGTTCCGGTTGGTCGAACCGGCTCCAAGACCAGGTACCGGGCCGGGCTGCCCGGCCCGAGTCCACCCCTATCGTGAGGGTACATTAGAATTTGCTTTAACTTTATCAGGAGTAACTTATACGGAGTAATTATTACGGTACCAATATGTTTGTGTTTATGTTTGTGTGTGTCCAAGTCATTACCAATTACCAAATAAATGCATTTGATTTGCTAAAGTCATTATTAATCACTCCTTTATAATATATTCGACATACATTTTTTGCTACACTTTCTAATATATTACGATATACTCCCTCTATCCCTGAAACAACTTTTCACTTTCCTTATTTGGATGTCCCTAATTTAACTTCTCATTTCCTTAAATGGAAAGTTATATACATCAAAACAGTGTCAAACAATGCAAAACAGTGTCAAACAATGTCGAAACAGTGTCATAACAGTAAAATTTACTCTTTGATAAGTTTATTTCCTTAATATGTGTGTAAGTCAAACCGGGAAGTTGTTTCAGGGACGGAAGAAGTATGTTTTAGTTAAATGTCAACATCCTTGAGACGTTGACTGAATGAGTTTTGACTATTCTCATGTCACAATCATCCCATTGAAACACAAGTACTAACTTAGCAGAGGTTGATATTTTATTTTCACACATGCACGGAGTATAAGATTTGTAAAGGAGCTTACAATACCCTACATAAACTTTTCTAATCATACATATGTAATTTAGTGTTTTATTTTTCTAATCTGTTCTTTTGATACATTTGAATATGAAAAGCATTATATAGAGAATATATAGTATTTCTGATAAATCATTTGTCCCACACCAAAAAGATATAAAACAATTAAACACTATGGGTATGTTTGGCAAATGGCTGTTAGCTGTTGTTGTTAGCTGGTTGTGTCGGCTGTTTCCTAACAGCTGGTTGTGTTAGCTATTTTGACCGGCTGGTTATGTTAGCTGATTATAGATAAGTGTTTGGTAAAATTAGTTGTTTTGAAATGGCTGATAGAGTGTAAATTGAACCAGCCGAATGAAGAAGCTGCTCCCCTTAGCTTCTTCAACAATCCATTTTTTCAGCTTTTCAAACTCAACAAGCTAATTTTAAAAGCCATTTACCAAACATCATTATTAGCTTCTTTGACCAATCAAACAACTGAAATGGGTCAAACAAGCTAAAAGCCAGCTAATAAGCCGTTTGCCAAACATACCCAATATAAAGCTTTGGGCTACTCCTCCTATCAGGTTGACCTTTTAGGATGGAACCTCGAGTCTTAACATGGTATCAAAGTCAAACCAATCCATGGTGTGAGTCCCTTATAAAAAATGATGACACGATTATAAAAAGGCCGGATGAAAAAAAACGGACCGATGAAAAAAATGAATGATGACATGATCCAGACGAAGTGTCTGATCGTGAGAAGGGGTGTTAAATGTCCCACACCCGAAAAGTTTGGATGAACAAAGTGCTATATTAACACATGTGTTAGTCCTCCTATTAGGTTGACCTTTTAGGATGGAACTCAGATCGATCTTAACATGGTATCAAAGTCAATTCTGGTTGTGGTTTGATGGCTTGTTTAGCACCTATGATTTCGGGTAGCTTGTAAAGGGTTTGTTTGGCCCGTTTATACACCCCAATATTGTCCAGCCCGGTTCTGGGTGAGAGAATTGTTAAAGCATTTGTCCCACAACGGAAGACTATAAAACAATTAAACACTATATAAAGCTTTGAGCTACTCCTCCTATCGGGTTAACTTTTTAGGATGAAACCTCAGATCTTAACAATTTGTAAGAAATAATTACGTATGTATGACTAAAATAAAAATTGTTTACCAAAATGTCACTAGTGACTAGAGTGATAATGAAATCATTATAACTTATTTGCAGTTATTAAATTCAAGTTACCATTACACTATGTTACAGTAACTATTAATAATATTTGCGTAAATAAGATTAGGTTCAGTAATATTTTTGAAAAGTCCCCTATTTCTAATCGAACTAATTAAATTAAAAGTATCACTGGTTAAATACAAGGAAAGTTCTCGAGTAGGATGAGCAACAAACCTTCAAGAAATTTTCGCGAAGCTTCAAAATTTTAGCGGCGCCAAGGAGCATTGCGACGTGGGCGTCGTGACCACAAGCATGCATCTTCCCTGGAACCTCACTCTTGTGCTCCCACTCTACGCCTTCCTATTTGGGAAATAATTATTCAGCCGTCATTAATTTTCTTTTACTTAAAATAATACTAACTCCGTCCCACTAACATTAAAACGTGAGAGGTGACACAATTATCATGAAAAATAATTTTATACGATTGCTATTAAATTGATAAAATAAGAATAAAATAAGAATGATTTAGAAACATACAGATTTTATCAAATTTGGTATGTGACAATCTTAGCGAGATAGACCAAAAAAGGGAAAGATGAGATAATCTTGGACGCTATAACATTTCTTTCATTCTTTTGGATGGATCTACATAACACAATTCTAAAGAATTCTAAACTACTCTATAAAGCTTCACAATTTTCTAGAATATTTAATTTACGCGCTTCTATATAATATCACACCTTTGTAGAATGCTTCAAAATGTTCTAACCGGTGGGCGTAGCTCAACTGGTAGCAAGAGAGTGCCACAAGGGTTAAGTCTCGGGTTCGAATCCCGGCAACTGCGATAAGGGGTTACTATGCTGAAAAATGCATAATATAGGGCCTCTGCAAGTACCGGGGACGGAGCCCCACTCTCTATCTGTCATGTTGTGATTATAGTCCAACTTACATCCTCCCATCGTGCTGTCCGGTCGGTGTTGGGGGCCCCTCAGGGATGGGGTGTCATCCTTTTTTTTCAAAATGTTCTAAAATATTTGATATTCTCTATACATATCTAAAGATGTAAGGGAACCTAAGAGCATCTCCAATGCTAAAATGTGTACGGTGCACATGTGGCATGAGTGATAGCCACATAAATATTAGCAAATAAATTATCTCTCTCCTTATTTGAATGATTTTATACAATTTTGGTAAGTTTTTTCCTGCAATGTCAACTGCAATGTCAACATTTAGACGGTCTCCTTGACATTGTGGAGAAAAACTTACTTGATCTGTATAAAATCATTAAAATAAGGAGATAAAGAATTTATTTACTAATATTTATGTGGCTATCTCTCATGCCACGTGTGCACCGTGCACATTATACCATTAGATATGCTCTAACATTATTACGAGTATTTGATTGATAGATATTCGAGTGTGGGTACGTGGACTTCAATTGATTCGGTTCAGTTCTAGGGTAACCGTCAATTCGGTTTCATCAATTGATCGCGTGTATATATGTGAGGTATTGTCAATTTGTTATCACTTCTGTCCCTAATAACTTTGTCAAGTTTGACCAGAATGGGGAATAATAAAGTAAAAATAGTGTGGTTGAGTTTTGTGCAGAGCAGAGAGAATGAACTGTTGAACATCTACTTCATTAAGTCTAGTTTATCCATACTAAATTTCAGCTAAAAATTCAATCGGGAATGCAGTCAAATGAATTTTTGAAGATAACTGCGCACTTAAACAACACAATACATTTCAGAAAATCATTTGATTTTCTTCCCGGTTGAATTTTTATCTGAAATTTGGTATGGGTAAACTAGACTTAATGAAGAACATGCTCAAAAGAATTCATCAAAAAATTCCATCGGGAACTACCCCAATTGGCGACGACCGGACAGAGCCTCCTATATAAGGTGTTAATTGCACTTTTTAAGTTAGTTCGAGGGCCTATTTGACCCTTTAGCCTAAAAATTAAAACAAATTGGAAATATATACGAGGAATTATAAGTGCAATAATTTATATTAGTTTAAACTGGTCAAAAAAATATACTCTGTATTAGTTTAATACGATAGTATATATAATAGAGAGAATTCCCTAAATAGGAATAAAAACTTTTTGAAATTCCAAAATAGGAGTATCATGTTTTTTAATCCCTAAATAGGAGTAAATTTCTGCCAAGTTTGGACATTACAAGGCTTTAAACATGGCATTTTTTCCCAAACTTGGCAGATTACTCCTATTTAGGGAATAAAAAACATGATACTACTTTTTTAGAATTTCAAAACTTTTTTACTCCTATTTAAGGCAACTTCTGTATATGATACGGAGTACGGAGTATATGTTATACGTAGAATCAAGGGTAGAGTCCGGAAAATGATAGAGATCAAAACTTAACTTTTTAAATACAAAATTAAAAGAGTGGATCATTTTTAAGTAATACCCGAATTGAATGTTTCATACTATTTTTGTTCCAATTTATTTTGCAAATTCAATAATTTTTTGGTCTACCAGTAATATTTTCGCCTGTTAGTTATTTTTTAATAATATTAAAGAAAAAATCGTACATTTTTGTTCATTACTTTTGTTTTGATTATATATTTGAATTCAATCACGTAATTTCTGGTTTTAGTCCCTTAAGGATGTTTTTACTTGGACTGTAATTTGCCCCAGACCAGACCAGAGCAGACCAGTCCAGACCAGACCAGACCAGACCAGACCAGACCAGACTTGGATAGTTATAAAAATACAAAGAAACCAGACCTTACCAGACCAGACTAGACCAGTTCAGACCAGACCAGATCAGACCAGACCAGACCAGCAAATTACAGTCCAAGTAAAAACATCCTAAATGGCTATGCCCACTTGCGAGCTAATAGTAGAAATAGTTGACTACATTTGTAATGATGTGATTTGATATAATCTATTCAATTTTAATCTGTTAGGAATAGGTCTGGTTTGGTTTGTTATTATCTAATGTACGTGTACCTTAGTACCTTACTATTGTTTTTAGAGGCCGTTTGACAACACTGTTTTTCGGCTTATCAGCCAACTTTTTCACCAAACGCGTAACTTTTGCTTTCGCGCACTGAATTTTGTGATAAGCAGAAAAAGTAAGGTTGAAATTATTTTTCTGTCTGTATTGACTGAAGTGACTATAGATGATCATTTTAATTATTTTACATATAATTTTTCCTTTATTTTATTAATAAAATATTTTTTAAAAATAATTTTTTCTTAAATCAGTAGAATCAGCCAATGAAGCCACTTCAGCCAGAACTTCATAAATTTCAGCAGAATCAGCCAATATGACGTCGGAGTGAAATAAATCAATTTAATTAAACACTTTCAAATAAATACCTCCTAATTTGTGGGTGAGCGTTGTGAATTAGAGTCCGAGACTAGCTGCACATAGGGCGAGGCATATCGGTTTTCGGTTCGGTTTTTTTCGGTTTCGGTTCGATTTGGAACAGGTCGGGAGAATTATTATTAAACAAAAATCATACTATTTTTCGGTTTGGTTCGGTTCGGTTTAGTTCGGTTTGGATTTGTTATTTTTTAATAAAATATGAAGAAGTTTTTGAATTTCTTTAGTCCGGTTTGTTTTTGTTCGGTTTTTATCGATTTCGTTTCGATTTAATACGATATGGAAGATATACTATCAAACTCAAACCAAATTACATAAGGTCCAATTTCGATTTGGCTTAGTTCGATTTGATACGGTTCGGTTCGATTAAACCAAACCATTATTGCCACCCTAGCGGCACATATAGACAGACAGTATCGAGGATGTGGGCTTGCTCAAATCTAATTGCGCCGAGCCACATGATACACCTGTCCCATATTCCATTATCATGTGGGCCGCGAGTTAATGAATTAATTAACCCACGTGTCTATTCACTCACATGTCTATTAGCTATCCCACATGTGTTATTATTATGCCCCTTATTATATTAGTAGTAATATTATTATACCCTTGTTATTTTCATTTGATATTCTTTTTCACATGTGTATATAATTAAGGAGAATTATGAAGATCTTCCCATCGTGAAAGTTGGTGAAATTATGAATAGTTAAATGTAATATAAATTATTGATGTTATGATAGGAAGATAATGAAATGGTGTGATAGAATGAAGGATAAATCCAAAATGTAATAGTGTATTATTTTTAAATTTATTGAGTATATGATGTGAAGATTTAAAATAGGAAGATTTGTTTTGTTACGGTTAAAAAAGAAAAGTGGGAAGATCGTTTTGTTACTGAGGGAGTATCATATTGCACTTTAATGGTTGAGTAAGAGGAACTTTACAAATAAATAAATAACTCATGATCTAATTTCATAACTTTAAAATTGGTTAAATCGATTAAGTTTTTTGAAATCGCGGAAATTAGTTCCTATAAAGAAAGTAGTTGAATTGATTAAATCCATTGAATTATACGGATTACGCAGTAAAAACTATACTACTATACATATTTACGATTACTAAAATAAATAAAATTATACTCCGTGCGTATGAAAATACTACATATACTATTGGCATATGCATTATCTTAGGTCTAAAATAAATTTGTGGTAATGATTTATTTAGTTAACTACAAGAAAATGAAAGAATGATATAACTAGTCCAAATTAGAAAAAAAAGATGGCATTACATACATCCCTAAAGACCCCAACTATGAATGGAGTTAGAGGGGGTCGCTTTCCCTCACCTATAAATTTAGAAATATCCAGAATTTTAATTAAAAATCCCCTGTGATTTATCCAAAAATGTACTTTGTATCGGTCTCGCCCTTTCATCCAAATCCCAACATTGGGCAAACACTTAACTAGACAGGATGTAAATTTAACTTTAATCATATGACAGATAACGAGTGAGATTATAACCATTCTAACTCATACACTACCAATTAAACAAGTAATAGTGGTTGATCGGATCGGAGTACTTTACATGGATACATCCATGCATGCAAACGAGTGGCCTCAACTTAATATTTACACATTCTCAAAAAAAAACTTACGTAGTAATATTTACACGTAATAATAAATTAAGATTGAAATGAAGGAATTTATAAACAAGGCACATATATACCTGAATGGGAAGCGCATCCATATCTGCCCGGAGAGCGACAAACGGTGGGCCGCCGGTCCCGACAGTCGCTCGGATTCCGGTAACGGCTAAAGGAAATTCGTATGGAATCCCCATCTTCTCCAGCTCCTCTCGAACAAGCCGGCTGGTCTCGTACTCCTCGAAAGCCAGTTCCGGGTTCCGGTGGATCGCCCTCCTCACCGACTTTATCCACTCCACGTTCTCCTTCTCTCCGGCGACCCTCAACAGCTCATCGGAGCATGTCCTGCTCCACGCTTCCTGACAGCTGGACGTGGGCACGTCGCTCCACGGCAGTGGTGACGACTGATTCCGCAGGATCTTCTCGGGGGGCTCGTTGAATCCGCCGCCGGAGGTGGGGGAGGATGCCAGATATGGAAAGTCGTGGCGGTCTTCCGATGATGTGGTGGCCGGAAAATCAAGAAAACCGAACAATATCAATAAACAAAAAAATAGCTTCATCCTGATTGATTCAATAAATTGTGTGTCCCTTCGTTTATGGAGAGAGAGACAAGAAGCCGACGATATATATATATATGAAGAGGGTAACTCTGTTCCTCTCCTTTTTGTCACTTTCTCTAAATAGCGCTTCTTTGAGATCTTTCTATTTTGGTACATAGATACATAGGTAGTAACAAAAATGATGTTTCTATTCACTCTTATACAACTTTTTTATCTACCTATGTATGTGAAGTATTTTTTTGTTTGTGAACCCCGATTCACAAGAACAATATTTTGCACAAACAAAATATTTTGCAAAAAAAACACTGCACAAATATGGTGGGTATAAGGTGGGTCAGGGCCGGCCTAGGGGAGGAGACTCGTGCAATTGCACAGGGCCTCAAAAAGTAGAGGGCCCCAAAAAAAAATTAATAATGATATTATAACTTATGAGTAGTACTTCGTATATAGCCCAAGTCCAAATAGAAACTAAATAGTCGCAATTGCATCGATTCATCCAAAAGGAACGCAATAGGCCGTAGCACCTTGTCACGGGCATAGAGTCTGGCGCAGCCCACAGCGCCCGTGCGGCGTCCCGGGGTCCCTCTCATCCCCGCGGACAAGCCTCGCTCTCATACGGAACCGGACTGGTTTCGCCCTGCCTTGGGCTCATCAGGGGAGCGGCAATAGCTCCCGACCAGTTTTGCCTTTAGATTCGCCTCTGTCTCCTTCATAGTCAAGCCCCACATGCCCAACTCGGCCAGACCATAGCGTCTAAGGCAGAACTCCCCTTGACGCTATTGCCTCCCCCATGCCTCGCCCGTCCAGCTAGCCAGTCGGTCCGTCCCATTCATTGAGCCTAACACGGTCACGAACAACGGTCCGTGACAACCTTCATCGACCAAGGCCACCTGACCTCCATCCGGGCCTCTAGGGACACCACCGCAGCAGCACAACAATCCAGCACAACCCCTCCGCCAGTCCGCCGGCTCAGCACTAGTCAGCAGTCGCACACCAATCTCCACCGCAGCCTTAAGTTAACTATTTGACTATTTGAATTGATTTTTATATGGTTGCGGGTTTAGTAGATTATTAAAAAAGTTTATACCTTAAGGGATGTTTGAAATTGATTATGTTTCTGCTTCTTTTTTAAAGTAGAAACATAATTAGAATCAGTTTTCAGAAACTGGTCACTTAAATCTTCTAAAAACCCGATTTTAAGGGTAAATTAGAGCGTCAGAATCACTTCTACACTCACCCAAACATTTCAACTTCTGCTTCTGTTCCCTGAATGAGCGGAAACAATTGTAATAATCATATCCAAAAACATTCCTTGTACCGGATCAATCTAGCTCAGCTCTGCCTCTATTAATAGCAACACCTTTTATCTCTTTGTATCATTTCATTTTTTTCTTCAAATCTTGCTTATATTTGAGTGTTTGCTATTCCTTTATATTTTATTCACATTTAACCAATTAAATATTACCTATATAGTTTAACTTTTAACAATCACATTACTCTACTCAAGTAAAACAGTAGCATTGCTATCCCTTTTCCTATATGGGTTTTTTACTATTATATTACAACTAAAAAAGTCATAGAAAAAATTGTGACTAAGTAATTTTTAGTGACATAGTAACTTTGAATACAATTATAGTCACTTAAAGTTGCAAAGTCATATTTTTTCCTACAATTTTTCTTGTAGTAATATTAGTGGATTGTTTTCTAAAGATATTACCGTGGAGTAAAATCCGGAAGGAATTCCAAAACACGAGTGTATGTTTAATATTGCTCAAATAAGACTTCATATAACCTTTTCACCATTATTATAATTAAAACTAATTAATTCTTTTCTCTCCAAACGTCATAACCTCTTTATCTCTTTGTTGTGTCTCTTTGCACCTCTCTTCCGCTTCTTCCATCTCCAACTTCCTAGGAGATGGAGGCGCGCAGCGGCGGCTAGGAGTAATCGCAGGTAAGTGTCCTCCTCTTCCTACTCTTCACTAGGGTTGTATACGAACCGAATCGAGTCGAATAGTGAGATTTTGTATTTGTATTTGTATTTGTATTTGTTTAACAATACGAATATTTAACGAATCATATACGAATATCGAATCGATTTGAGCATAAGTTAAATATTAGTCAAATATCACTTTAAAGTAATTTTCTTATAAATGCATGCTATGACGTAATATGTGTTTTTAAAATTTAATTTTTAAAAAGTACAATTTTCTTTGAAATTTAATGGATCGATACATTTATAAATTTATATTTATTAATCATAAAATTGATTGACTTTAGTATATTGTGCACAACCTATAAATGTATCGATCCATTATACGATAAACACTAACACACACATATTAGAAATTATACTCATAATGTGTGAAACAAGTTGATAATTGTATACTTCGTATATCGTAGTCAAACGCCTATAATTTTATTCTTTGAATCGAATACATAATTATTTGTATTCGTACTTGAACCAAAAATCTGATTTGTATTCGTATTTATATTCAATATTTTCAAATTTAAATCATATTGTTTGAATCCAAACCACGAATGAAATTAAAATTATTTGCTTCATTTACAATCCTTACTCCGTATGATACTTCTGATTTATTACTTATTAAATGCGCTTGAAATTTGTATGCATAAATGTATATATGGACTACCCTTTGAGTGTATAGCTATCTTTAAAGGTTATTATAGTGTTATTACTATTATTAATCGAATATATTTGATTAATATTCGAATCGAATACACTGATATTCTTATTTGTATTTGATAACAATTCGAATAAAATTTAGTATTCTTATTTGTATTTGTATTTGAATTTTTCGAATTCGAATAGTGTTATACGAATTCAAATCGCGAATCGAGCAAAAATTATTTGATTCGTTTACAACCCTACTCTTCACCCCCTTGATCCTCCCGCCTCCTCTTCCCTCGCTCCTCTCATACCTATGCACTATTTTTTATACTTGATATGTCATTTATATATATTACATTTAGTTTTAACTTAAGGAATGTATATATTTGATCAATTCATTACAACTAGCTAGCGTTATATAGCTTTCACTACCACATGAGTGCATAGTTTCACCATCACTCTTAGAGCCCGTTTGGTAACACGAAAATCGGCTGATTTGGCTGATTCTGCTGAAATTTATGAAGTTCTGGCTAAAGTGGCTGTTTTGACTGATTCTGGTGATTTAAGAAAAAATTATTATTAAAATATATTTTATTAATAAAATAAAGAAAAAATTATATTAAAAATAGCTAAAATGATCATCTAGAGTAACTTCATCCAATACAGCCAGAAAAGTAACCCCAACCTTACTTTTTCTGCTTATTACACAATTCAGCACGTGAGAGCAAAAATTATTTATTTGGTGAAAAAGTTGGCTGATAAGCCTGATAAGCCGAAAAACTGTGATGCAAAACTGCCTCTTACTTTCATTATTAAAATATTCAATAGACTCATACTCCGTATATAACTAATACTACCTCCGGTTTTTTTTAATCTTCACAGTTTGACTTCACACAAAATAAGGAAAGAAATTTGACTTTACTGTAGAGTACACTGTTGAGGCACTGTTTGACACTGTTCGGCGCTGTAGAGACACTGTTTGGCACTGTTGAGACACTATTTGGCACTGTTTGACTGTTAAATGTCCCACACCGGAAAATTTAGAAGCACTAGAGTGCTATATTAAGCTTCGGGCTACTCCTCCTATCAGGTTGACATTTTAGGATGGAACCTCGGATCTTAACATGGTATCAGAGCCAAATCGATCCATGGTGTGGGGCCCCTTATGAAAAATGACGACACGACGAAAAAAAATGACGAACCGATGAAAAAAATGAATGACGACACGATCCAGACGAAGTGTCTGGTCGTGAGGAGGGGTGTTAAATGTCCCACACCGGAAAATTTAGAAGCACTAGAGTGCTATATTAAGTTTCGGGCTACTCCTCCTATCAGGTTGACCTTTTAGGATGGAACCTCGGATCTTAACATTGACACTGTTTTGATGTAGATTTCTTTGCCAAAAAAGGAAATAAGGAAGTGTGAAGTTTATTTTAGACCGTCCCAAAAAGGAAAGTGTGAATTTTATTAAAAACCGGAGGGAGTATAAGAAATAATTTACACACAAGATAGATGAAACTTTGAACAATCATCAAGCCAGACAATGAACAACCCATAGACAAACTCATAAAGAGCACTATCTGTCAACAGGACACGTCATAACATCAAGCCAGTGGAGTTAACTGACCACACCACGGCACACAATCTCAAATGTCTAAAACATAGGCAAATAGGCTTCCAAAGGTCAACGGCAACAATCCAAGTAGTCAACAATCAGGTTTTTCTCTTCCACAAATCAAAGCACCCGGAGTATTTCAAAGTTAGAGATATTAGAGGCCTTTTGGCAACACAGTTTTTCGGCTTATCAAGCTTATCAATCAATTTTTTCACCAAACACATAACTTTTGTTTTCGCATGCTGAATTGTGTAATAAGCAGAAAAAGTACGTTTGAAGTTACTTTTCTGGCTGTATTGGCTGAAGTTATTGTAGATGATCATTTTAGCTATTTTTACATATAATTTTTTCTTTATTTTATTAATAAAATATATTTTAAAAATATTTTTTCTTTGAATAAGCAGAATCAGGCAATGCAGCCCATTCAACCAGAACTTCATAAATTTCAACAGAATCGGCCAAATCAGCCGATTTTGATGCTACCTCACCGTTCACTTGGGGTATATTTGGAAAAGTAACTTATTGAGCTAAAGTTATTGAGCTAAAGTTATTGAGCCGATTTTCAGCCGATTTTTTCTTTTAAAGTAACTTAGCTTGCAAATCAAAGATAAGAATTTATACCTCACAGTTCACTTGGGGTATATTTTGAAAAGATATAGGTTACGATCAATTCAAATAGTTAGAAGAGAAGAAAAGCAATATGGAAGAAAATTCTTCTTCTTGTTTGGAAGTAACAAATTTGAAAAGATAAATGCTATAATGGATTAAAATAGTTGAATTTATATTTATTTAAATTGAGCTAAAGTTGTCATTTTATTATTATTTTTCAAAATC